AAACACAACAGTGACTAAAGCCATCTTGTCCTGAAAGTCCATGCTGCATATATATCTTTGCCATGACAAATGTTTATGTTAAATACATTCGAAAACAGTTGCCTGAAGAAAATGTTGGACATAAAAAGGAATGAATTTAAGAGAGTGGAAGCAAAAAGAGTAATATCTGGGCAACTATTAGACAGTTTTAAGACAGAAAAGATGGCGCTATATTGGACACATTCAGAGAAGAAACCAGCAGAGAATCACTAAACAGGCACTAAAATGGGAAATATCTATTTCTCTATTCCATTCTATCCTGTGCAGTTACTTTGATATCATTATGGAATCCAGTTCAGCACCTTTGGCTTCTCTCATCCATGTTCGCCTTAGGGTTTCTCTTGGATGTCCTGATTTCCTCGTTTCTCAATCTGTTTCCCATTTCAGTACCTGGCTGGTGACTCGCTGTTCACAAATAGTGCTTGACTTATGTTTTTATAGAACAGTTTGGCTCCCGCTGAGTGATGGGGTCGACATCATGCTGGACCCACAACTTCTGGACCTCAATAAATTTGTGTGCTTGTTTACTGTGTGTATCTTCTTCTTCTTTTGGACGTCTCACTGATAAAAGGTTGTAGTCCAATGTCATAGTTTTCTGTATTGTTCTTACTCTTCTCAGGTGGCTCGGGTGATGGATTTGTTCATCTTTTTGCAGGTTTCTGCTGCACCCTTTATCCATTTTTTTCTTGGTCTTCCTCTTGCCTTCCTCCCAGATGTTCTGCTGTAAAAAGTCTCATATGCAGTTTGATTTGGCTGCATTCTCACTAAATGGCTGAACCAATTTATTCTTTGTTTTAATATAATCCAGGCATTGTCTTATTCTTACTTTTTCGCTAATGTTGGTATTCGTAACCTTGTCTCTTCTTGTGTTGTTTGTGACCTTGTTTAGACACTGCATTTTGTATGTAGTTATTTTCTGTTCTAGTGCCTTATTCATCGACTGGGTATATACAAAGTTAAACATTTACTTTTTCCACGTCTGTTCTGAGGTGAAGACATTGCTGAAAATGCTTCTTATATTGTCTTTCACAGGGGAATGACCGTGACCTCAGGTCACGTGGTCCTAAAGAAAGATGCCCAGAACCTGATTGGAATCAGCATTGGAGGTGGGGCTCCACTGTGTCCTTGTCTGTATGTAGTGCAGGTGTTTGACAACACCCCTGCGTCCAAAGATGGGGCCTTGGCTGCAGGGGATGAAATTGTTGGTGTCAATGGACAGTCTGTCAAAGGTCGTACAAAAGTCGAGGTCGCCAGGATGATACAGTCTATAAAGGTAAGTAGATGTGTTTTATTCTTTTATTTTCTGTCTTTATTACTCCAGTATGTTATTACGCTGTCTGAAGGTCGTGGGTTCATTTCACAGCTGCATCATTCAGTTCACTAGTGCATTTTTACGAAGATGAGTGGGGACACTGCTGGAGCTACAGAGTATGGGCTTTGTGCGGTGCTCTTTGCAAGTGACTAGCCATTCTGCAAAGAGATATTGAGCCTTATGGGATAAAACCTGGGCTGGGTAGAAAAAAACAGATCCATGACCCCCTAAAAAGCATGTTGTGAAAGGTGACAGATTATGTTTTTTCCTGAAAGCAGATGTGTTAGGCCAGAAGGCACAGATATTACACCCTGTCTGTAAATCTCAACACAACATGTGACCTTCCATTTTAGAGTGAACAAAGAAGAAGAGGAATAAGAAGACTTCATACGTTTTAAGTATTTTATTGTCAGCCAGGTGAGCTGCCCTAGATGGCGAATTCAATGCTCATTTATTCAGTGAAAGAGATTGCTTTTGAAGTTTATAGATTTGATGGAAGAGTGTAGTAAAAGACCTATTTCTTTGCCTTGAAGCCTGTTGGGTATAAGTTGCTAGCCCACATTTTTTTTAATAGATCAGTTGGCTACAGTTCTGGTGAGGGACTGTTAGTTTTGGTACATCTGGCAGCTGCCTTATTTATGCATTTACATTGCATGTGCAGGCTTCTAGATCTTGCTAGGACTGATTTTTTAAAATTCCTTTTCAGATGGGTCAGTGAGGGGCATTTTGTGTGATTTCCACCGCCTAAGAATGGAGCCATAAAAGGGTGACCCGTTTTCCAAGCAGTTAGAACCTTGACTAACTAGACCAGTTGGTACTCACTTGGTTGCTGTGGCCAGAATCATACTGACAGACAATCTTTGCTTTCCAGAACATTCTCATCATTAAATCTCATCTTCATCCTCTTGTACCTTGTGGTGTCGAGGTAAAGTATCATTTGTAGGAAAGTGCCCATCTGTGCCTTTTCTAAATGGCCATTCCCAGTGTCCATCATTTGCATGGTCAACCTCTTCTTCACCTCTTGCCTGGTCTTTATGTCATTGCTTGCTGTGGTATATTGTTTGACGGCATCTGCGTTATATGGTCAAACCATTTCAGTTTACAGCAAAATGAATCCTTTGGATTTCATTGTTTCTGATCTTCTCTCTTCTTGTCATGTTATCCATCCTTTTGCAGGAATCTCATTTTAGTTGTTATGATTCTTCTTTTCTTGTTTTCTGTCATTGTGCAGGTGTGGCATTGAAAGCACAGGTTTGGCAAGAAGATTGTATCATAGAGTGCTCTTTTGATATTTACTGACACATGTTTGTTTCTCGTTGGTGCCGTTTGCACAATGAGTTGGTTTGCTCTGTTAATCTGTCATCGATCTCCTCTTCTGGTTTGCCAATTGACAGTATTATGCTTCCTAATTGTTTGAAGTACCTGGTTTGTTACATAGGGTGTTCTGTGAGATGGATAATATTACCTGGTAGACATTTTTTTTAGATAGGGTTGACCTGGAAGCCCAGGTAAATGTTATACACTCCCCAGGAGTTTGAACCAAGCAATCAGGCAAGCAGGCTAGCCACTACGCTACCTCAGCTCTGAATAAAAGGAGTGTTACCATCATTTTATTGCAGGTTGTTTACAGAACATTGCTCCCAGCATAGTTCACCTGAACACAACTAGGTCACTTCTTGCACACTCCTAACCATTGGGGTCTCTTATCCCTTGTGCCATTCTTCGTGCCAGGCTGTTCCTCTAATCTGGCACCTTGTCCTCTGTTGAACGTCTGTCCAGTCCACCATGGCATTTGAAATGGCCAGACCATGTCAGTTTCATAACAAGATGCTGTTTACAAGCAAATTTCACTTTTAGGATGCCAATGCTCCTTTTTTAATTAGTCTGTTGTATGAAAAAATTCTTTCTGTAACATTTCAGTTCGGAAGCCCAATATTTTCTTACTTGAAGATTGTGAGATCGGCACGGCTCACATCTAAATGTTGCTACAGAAATGGGTGTATAAAGGAAACAAAACAGTAAATCAGTGTAACATTTTTTTTTACAGTCTGAGGTGACCATTAACTACAACAAGCTGCATGCAGATCCAAAACAAGGGAAAAGTTTAGACATCAGTAAGTTTGATGGGAACGCGAGAGTGGTAAATGTGTGTGGGAGTGTGTGTGTGTGTGGGAGTGTGATACTGCGATAGAAAGTTGGAGAATCGAGTTAGAAAGGTAGAGAGTGAGGGAAAAATTGAGAAATAGTAAGTGAGAAGTGTGTGGATTAGCTGGATAGAGACAGTTCAGTAGGATTCATAAGGTTGATCTCTATTTTACTTACATACTCCAAAAAAAAAAAAAAGCCAGATTTTGTCTTTCAAACATGAACAGAATCAGAGCTTTGGTCCCTGAGAGCCAAGGAACCAGCAGTTTGCATACAAATGAGTCAGATCTGTAAAATGGATGCACACGCAACACTCAGGTTCTGGAACAGTACAGCAGTCCAGAAGTGGATGAACAACCAGAACTTTACTCCAGAGTTTACAGCTGGTGAACACGAAGAAGAAGAAGAAGACTGCTACGTGAATAATTCATCTCTTGAACTGGGATTTCACCAGGAAGGATTTGGTGATTATTTATTTGTTTTTTCCTCCAATTATGTTTCCTTTCTGAATTGTTAGGTCTAATGATATGTCTAATGATATGATGAGTGATAATCTGTAGCAAACTGAGTTTGTTGACATTGTTATAAAGCACATCTTTTATGGTGAACATTGGTGTTGTTATCCACAGTTCTGAAGAAGGTTAAGCACAGGGTAGTGGAGAACATGAACTCAAACACGGCAGATGCTTTTGGCCTCAGCAGAGCCATATTATGTAATGGTATGTAATGGTATGTAGGTATCATATTATGTATGTATGTATGTAGGTTTAAGGGTGTGGTATCTGCATTCCTATCTGTAATGTAGGTTTAAGGGTCATATTATGTAATGGTATGTATCTGTATGTTATGTAGGTTTAAGGGTGTTGTATCTGCATTCCTAAATAAGAAAGCTAGAAATGCTAGATAAGGGAAGCAAAGACAGATGATGGATGTGAAGAGAATAATAAACAGCTGATCAGCACAGAATAATGCAATGCAGACCACTTTAGGCAATCTCGGATCTGGCAGATTTCTTTTGTTCATCCCCTGCAAATGTTCTTGCTGGAACTCTTATTTAGATAAGAGGAATTTCTATTAAGAAGAACTATATCTTGGGTCCCTGCTGAGTTCTCCCTATCAGGTCTGCACTGTATGTAGTTAAGTAAGAAAAGGATCCTTTTCAGTCTTCACATGGAAAAATCCTAGGCAGAAAAAGCTCTGTGTAATGTTGGTATTTTCACGCGGGGATTCCCTGGGGAATAATGTGAGGGGGAAACCTCGAGATACGACAGAAAAATGGGATAACGCAAATACTCGTAGAAACATGAGGTACTCAAGCAGGGTAGACAAGCACGTAAAACCACGTGGAACCCAGCATAATGTTATAAGATTAGACAAAGGTCTAATCAGAAAGTATGCGTTTGCAAGCCAGAGCAAAAGGGTGTATTTGAGATTCAGCGTGAATGTAACGATGCATTTGGCTACGTGAGGAGTTCTGAGAGGAGAGGAGACAACAAGATGACAGCCTGACGACAATCTGATCCGAAGTGGCATCCAACCAGTTTCCGATTGCTCAAGAAGTTGAACCACCATGCTTAGAACTGCTGGAGCAACCATTGCGTGTATTCCAAATGTGAGGAAGGAGGACTGAGAGGTATTGAGTGCGAACGAGAGAATACTCCAAGTTGATGTCTGAACAATGTCATATGATAATGCTGGACTTGCTAGTTCACACTGGACAAATGGTATGTGAAATTGTAATAAATTATATTATTGAGATATCGTCTTCTCGTACCACCTGTGTCTACTTAGAGTGTCAATCATGTCTTCAATAAGAACAAACCCCAAGAAACCAGCTAAGACATGGAGGAGACAATATCACACTCTGACTAGTGAAATGATCAGCCATTTGATATCTAGACTGAATACTACTGAGCACCACAAACTTTGCTAGTTGAAAAATATGTCTGAGGTTTGAAACTCCAGCTCCATGTGGACAGGAATCTGTGTCGGGACATGGAGATAATATAGATGCTTCAGGTATCTACAGCGGCCACTTCTTTTGGGGAAAGAGGATGGTTTGCTGTTGCTTGTAGAGTCAGTAAATTGGGTCATGTCTAGTGTATACTCAGTTAAACTGTAGCCTTGTTCTCATTGTCCTGCTTTATAATTTTGTTCATATGACAGTGTGCTGAATCAGTTAGTCACACTAAACACATTGGATGTAGAGAGAATCCTGACTTTTGCTGATGATGTCTTTGTCTACTCACAGTTGATCACTCGGCATGTGGACTCCCTACTGAGAGGACATGTTTTTTCCTAGCTCTTACTATTTGGATTTTTTATTCAAAGTGTGTCTGTGAACTAGCGATGTTTTTATATTTGTTGTGATCATTATTCCATTTGACGTGCAGTGAAATATTGTTTCATGCAATTAGATGTCATGGTTGCATGCAAATGAGGTTTTTGTAGTATTCTCAAACATTACAGACACTTGGAGTTTTCTTTTTATAAATATTTCACCTTTCTTCGTGATGACATCTCATCAGGCTACACAAGATACACCTGAGAACCCGACATTCTCTAGGCACCTAATTTAACTGCAGAATTCAAGTTCACACGGCCCTACCCTGCTACAACAGTTAAGGACAATTAATAATAGTAACATGAAGCGGGTAGAAGGCTATGCGACGTCACAATAAGCCAGTTACCAGGTACCCTCTGTGTCCACGTGGCCACCTAGAAATGAACGTAGAGACACAGCACTTATATTTTCTGTTCTCCTTAGCCTTCGTCAGACCAGTAGCACACATTTTTCTTCTTGAAGGAAGTCGACAGTCAAAAACCCAAGTTTAAGGTGTCTCCTTCATGCCAAAGAGCTGCATGGCTGTTAACGAAGGCAGTCAGGTCGTTGTAGGGGCGACGCTTGCTTGTAATGTCCTAAGTCCCTTCCCCAGCTAATAGTGAGGGTACTGCTAGGGTGACTGTTTATTAACCCTCACATAATGCTTCAGGTCAAAATGTACCTTAGGCACAGTCACTGTTTTGAGCCGTGGCAAATTTTTTTGCTTCTGCCAGACAGTGGCTGTTGCATTTTTGCTCCATTTGTAGACTGGAATATAGTTTCGTTACCCAGCTTCTGAGCTGAGTGCATGGCGTGACATTGTAATGCTTTTTTTTACTGTGACCAGCGTTGTGGTGTGAGTTGTAGATTCAGAAAATAGCGCGATGCTGGTTGTCGCAATTATGGTGGGGCCATTATGTGATTAAAATTGATTGCGTGTGCAACTACTGATCTGTTGATGACTTCTGCTAGTCACTAGTGCTACCATCCATGATGAACTGCATGTCTAATGTCGGACTGTTTGTGTTAGCACTTCAGATGGCTACCGTATGCTTTTAATGCGTGTGTATGCTAGTGCAAATGCTGAGACAGCAGTCTGTCAATCTTTCCACAAGGGACTGTGATAAACATTCTGTGTGTTTTTCGTTGGCACAGGAGCGGAGCAACTATGAGGCACCCGTTTGCTATGAAGCTGAAACTAAGATTACCAGATTACCAGACAGAGAGAATCTTGACTTTTGCTGATGATGTCTTAGTTTACACACAGTGGATACAGAGAGAATCTAGACTTTTGCTGATGAAATCTTAGTTTACACACAGTGGATACAGAGGGAATCTAGATGTTTGCTGATATCTTAGTTTACAGTGGATGTAGAGAGAAGCTTGACTTTTGCTAATTATATTTTAGTTTACACACAGTGGTTGTAGAGAGAATCTTGACTTTTGCTGATGATATCTTAGTTTACACACAGTGGATGTAGAGAGAATCTTGACTTTTGCTGATTATGTCTTAGTTTACACACAGTGGATACAGAGAGAATCCTGACTTTTGCTGATTATGAAAATGTACCTTAAAGCCACAACAGACAGAAAACACTTTTTGCATGAGGCCTTAGGAGATAGCAAGGGACAGCAGCTGAAAAGAGGTGGCTCTTGGATGGCACGGGCATACGTCATGATCAAAACTGTTTGTGCTACTAAGAAGATAGCATGTGGTGAAGAATGGGTTACAGTGCCACCAGCAAGACAGATTTGCATATAGTGATAGTTAGCTTGGATCGAGGGTGCTGGGAGTGGAAAGCAGTGCAAGAGCTGATCAGTGAAAATGTACACCCAGTGACATCATAATATATACAGATGGGTCTGTGGTGAGAGGTAAGAAGAGTGAGTGGGTTTTATTGCAAAGGTAAGTGGACACTGCTTGAAAGCAGAGAGCTTCGCGTAAAAAGTCACCACATCCAGTATGACAATGAAGGTGGAGGCAGTAACGGCAGCTTTTCAATAGCTTGAGAACAGCACAGCCAAACATTTTATAATTATAGCAGACTCACAGAGCATGCTTTGGAAAATTGAAACTGGTGTCCTGTGATCAGAGTGGCTTGTATCACTTGATAAGACCCACATCACAAGCGTGTCAACTCCTAGTTGGTTACTGAAGAAGAGGACGGAGTACATGTGAGAATGCCCCGAGTGCAGAAATGTCGATTCTTCATTTATTAATCACTCTTCTTACATCACAGCAAATGGGTCACCCCAAAGTTGCTTCATTCCTGTGCCAACGAAAACCACATAAAATGTCCACGACTGTCCCTTGTGATCACAGACTGCAGTCTCAGCAAGTCCAATAGCATACACACGCTTTGAATGCATAGGGCATTAGAAGTGCCAGCATAAACAGTCTGACTCTAGAAAGGCAGTTCATCATCGATGGAAGCAGCAGTTACAAGAGATCAGTAGTTGCACACGCAGTTAATTGCATAAAGCCCTACCAGTTCTGTGGCAACAGGCCACTCACCATTTTCTGAATCTTCAATTCATGACACAAATCACAGTGGGCGTAGCTGAAAAGCTTCCACATAAAATCTGCGGCTCACAGTGTCGCACCCTGCACTCAACTCGGTTGCTGGGCGACAAAACTTTACTTTTTCTGTGTACATTTGGAGGAAAATTCAATGGCTAACTATTGTCCCAGAAAAAAACACTTGCCACAACTAAAAACAGTAAACAAGCTGTAATAGGTGGTTTGTGTGTGGTTCTCGTTGTCTAGGCAGTGTTCATGCGTGTGTGGTGGATGATATTCTCACACGCTCCACGTTACACAACTGGCAAAAGCCGACACCGATGTGAGCTTACGAGACGTGAATTTATTGACGTATTAACACTTACGAAAACAGAATTGTCCGGTCGGTGTCCTAGTGAACAGCTCTCGTACCCAATCTCACGCAGCCTTCAACGAACAGTCTTCTTCAAGCATTCACTGATCAAAGTTGGCTCCCATGGATTCATGTTGACAGATTCTGGACATCTCACACACTGGCATGGTCGATCTCGGCTTCACACTTCGTCGGCAGGTCTCCTTTCTCCACAGGCACTCACGTAAACATTCTCCCATTCAGTCGCACGTCCTCTCACTCCAACAGGTCGACACAAACTAAACTTGACCAGCGTCAAGTCTGACTTATACCACGGGTTTGTTTCACGTGACAACACGTGGTGGTCCTTTACTTTTCCCGTGGCGACCTTGGGTCGCATCATCGTGGTCCCCGTGATAACTAGTGGTTAGTCACCTATCTCCAGATTCTCGTTTAATCCAAGTATCTGGACTATCTCGGTGTTTTAGGTCAGCTTTGGGCCTTCCCCCCGACCATCCTAAACTGGGTGAAAATATCCCCCATTACACAAGCCTATCTGCCATATTGACCAGAAGTCATTATGCTGAATAAAATGCTTCATTGCAGCAAATACCATGGTAGTTCTGGATAACATCATTTGTTTCTTTGCCTTCAAGTTATGTTAATGAATAAAATATTGTCTTTGTTTTAATAGATGGTTTATTAAAAAAACTGGAAGAGATGGAGAGGACCGCCAACATGTACGGAGGGCTGATTATACAGACTCGGAAACTCCTGAAGGCTGTATTTGATCTCTCCCAGTCCCACAAAGGTTAGTGAAGTTGAGGCCAGCAGGATCCAGTATCTCCCTATGGGTTCAGGGATCCTTTTATGGGGGGAAACAAGATTACTCTCACAAAGGCTAGTTAAGCTAAGATCAGTAGAATCCAGTGGGTGTGGGTTCCGGGATCCTATTATGGGGGGAAACAAGATTAGTCTCACAAAGATGATTGAAGTTGAGGCCAGCAGAATCCTGTATCCTCGTTTGTGTTCAGGGATCCTATTATGGGGGGAAACAAGATTAGTCTCACAAAGATGATTGAAGTTGAGGCCAGCAAAATCCTGTATCCTCGTATGGGTTCGGGGATCCTATTATGGGGGGAAACAAGATTAGTCTCACAAAGGCTAGTTAAGCTAAGATCAGTAGAATCCAGTGGGTGTGGGTTCCGGGATCCTATTATGGGGGGAAACAAGATTAGTCTCACAAAGATGATTGAAGTTGAGGCCAGCAGAATCCTGTATCCTCGTTTGGGTTCAGGGATCCTATTATGGGGGGAAACAAGATTAGTCTCACAAAGATGATTGAAGTTGAGGCCAGCAGAATCCTGTATCCTCGTATGGGTTCGGGGATCCTATTATGGGGGGAAACAAGATTAGTCTCACAAAGGCTAGTTAAGCTAAGATCAGTAAAATCCAGTGGGTGTGGGTTCCGGGATCCTATTATGGGGGGAAACAAGATTAGTCTCACAAAGGCTAGTTAAGCTAAGATCAGTAGAATCCAGTGGGTGTGGGTTCCGGGATCCTATTATGGGGGGAAACAAGATTAGTCTCACAAAGATGATTGAAGTTGAGGCCAGCAGAATCCTGTATCCTCGTTTGGGTTCAGGGATCCTATTATGGGGGGAAACAAAATTAGTCTCACAAAGATGATTGAAGTTGAGGCCAGCAGAATACTGTATCCTCGTATGGGTTCGGGGATCCTATTATGGGGGAAAAACAAGATTAGTCTCACAAAGGCTAGTTAAGCTAAGATCAGTAGAATCCAGTGGGTGTGGGTTCCGGGATCCCGTTATGGGGGAAAACAAGAATAGTTCTGCTGCCTCCCTTACAAACATGTCATAGGAGTTGACTAATTACCGGTTTCCTTCAAAATCCTTCTGCCTGGGAGGCAAGGAGCCATCAGTCCGCATACAGCATCTGCATGTAGCAGACCTAAAAATGGATGTAAAACTGAAATTCTGGAACAAGACTAAATTGCAGCACTGCGGTGGATGAACACTCAGAACTTTCCAGCAAAGTTTACAGCTGGTGAACGCAAAGAAGAAGAATCCAGTAGAGCAGTGGTACAACTACAACCTGCGGATGTCTCTTAATTTCTCAAAGGTTTGCCACTGACCCTGATAGTGACACAGTTACTACTAAAGAACTTGTCATAATTTTTCAGTGGATATGCACTGGTTAGCTGGTCTTTGGGATGGTGAGAAACCCCAGTCTCTTTAGTGGTACCATGTGCCCAGATTCACACCCCATCCCCCCAGCATTCATTTGTATGAATGTGTGACTTTTCATGTCACACCAACATTCACAGAAGATAGTAAATTGGATGAAGAAATCTGGTGCAGTAAAGCAGACCAAGTGTTTGTACAGCTTGCCATGATCTAACAGCATATGAAAATCCTGATCAGCACAGACAAACATCTCAACAAAGCATATATTCATTCCCACTATATGCTACCAGTGCCAGTCACTCAGAACAAACCAGAGACAAATGGTAACCATGGAAATGAGATATCTGGGAAGGGCTGCAGGAGTGACAGAAGAGATAATATCATAAATGAGGTCATGAGAGAAAGATTTGGCACAGAACAAACTCTGTATTGCGGTGTCCGTGGCTTAGGTGTTGTGAGTCCGACTCATAATTCCAATGTACCGCGATCAAAACCCACTGCTGGCTGCGTGGATTTTTATCATGGTATGGGGCGCCACAGGTCTACCCAGCCTAAAATGGGTACCAGGATGGCTGTCCTGGAGAAGTAAAGATGGCCGGCATAATGCTGACCACATTACCCACCCAGTGCCGATTGGTCTGTGAAAATATGGGATGCTCCTCTTTCTATATGCCTGATGCGCCTAAGGCATCAAAAGGGATCTTTACTTTTACTTTACAACTCTGTATTACAAAGAAAGATAGCAAATCAAATGGTCTGCCCACTTGGAAAAAATGTTTTATGACGCCAAGACACACACTAAAAGAGGAGAAGGATGTAGAGCATGAGGTAGACCAATGACAAGATGGAAAGATAACATCAGAGGAACTCTACAATAGCACGATGTGTCTGTGGTCGAGACAGCCAGAAGAGCAAGATTTAAGAACCTTATTTCTCCCTCAGGACCTGAAGTGCTAAAAGAGGAAGTGAAGAGACAGAAAAAAGACTTCTTGTGGGATAATGATGTCTGACCGCTTGAGAAGCCCTTAAATAAACCATGAAAGCAAAAACTGTCATTTGTTTATAATTACTGGAGTCTGTCTGAAGGATGTTGTGGATGCATGTTTAATATATAAGACCACGCCCTTCTCTAATTATTCAGTCCTCACAACTGAATCACGGTACATTTTGGAGGAGTCCCCCTCGAAAATTGGGTTACTGGGAGCCTTTCCATGTTGCAATGTGTGACATATTAATATGCTTACAAAGTCCTGTGTTCTAAACGTATTCGTATTACAAATCTACAAATGGATATTGTGAAGTGGATATACAGCAATTTTAATTTTAATTCACGGAAGACAGTCGTGTTGTGATGTGTGTGTCAGTGTCACTGTTTCTAGTCAGTAGTTCGGATTTTTGGGAACTGGCTGTTTATTACTTTTCTACTTTAAATGTAGAAATCTTACTTTTAGGGATAATACAAACAGGTAATTTAGAAGCCATTTCTGGAGAATATTGACAGTTGTCAGGTGCAAACTATCTTGTGTTTGAAGAAAACTATTGCTTTCAAATTGACTGTGCATAAATGGTGCAACCACACTGTGGATAAATTGTGTCAAGATATTTCGGAGCTCTAGGTAAGTGGATGAAAATAATATTTAATTTACTAACTAACCTCTCACAGCAAGTCACTCTTTGCCTCTTTACTAATTGTTGACTAACAGTATAATTATATGTTGTAGCAGTACACTAATAATATTAATCCTTAACCATTTGACTTATGCTTAGCGAACACTGGCTGTAAACTCTTGCGGAAACTTCTGGTAGTTCGTCGACTTCTTTTGCATATTTGCAGTTCTACGGTCTGTGTTAATTTTTGTAAACTGGCTTTTGCTTTGCTTTGCGAACACTGGCTGTAAACTCTTGCGGAAACTTCCGGTAGTTCATTGACTTCTTTTGCATATTTGCAGTTGTACGGTCTGTTAATTTTTGTAAACTGGCTTTTGCTTTGCTTCGCGAACACTGGCTGTAAACTTTTGCGGAAAATCTGGTAGTTCATCCACTTCTTTTGCATATTTGCAGTTTTACGGTCTGTTAATTTTTGTAAACTGGCTTTTGCTTTGCTTCGCAAACACTGGCTGTAAACTCTTGAGGAAAATTCTGGTAGTTCATCGACTTCTTTTGCATATTTGCAGTTTTACGACCTGTAATTTTTGTAAACTGGCTTTTGCTTTGCTTCGCGAACACTGGCTGTAAACTCTTGCGGAAAATTCTGGTAGTTCATCGACTTCTTTTGCATATTTGCAGTTTTACGGTCTGTTAATTTTTGTAAACTGGCTTTTGCTTTGCTTCGCGAACACTGGCTGTAAACTCTTGCGGAAACTTCTGGTTGTTCATCCACTTCCTATGTATATTTGTTACCAAAAAATTTGCAATGGTAAGGAATTGATTTCATCCAACAAGATGAAACTGGACAAATTTGTTTGTGCTGTTTGTACCTTGAGGATACATATTTAGTAGTGCTATAAGTACTGTTAAGAAAACTACTCTGGGGGAAAAAGTATTGCACATATCAATTTCATACTGATTGTGCTTGTTTACTAATTATTAAATAACAGTATAATTATATGTTGTAGTAGTCTACTAATAATAATAATAACCATCAATTATTTATATTTATGTTGTGTATGATATGTGTATCTTTCATAGCAGTATTTGTATGCGCTAAATTTGATAAAAGTACAAATGTCACCACTCCCCTCCCCTCTTCCCCCCTCCCGCCCCCCCCCCCTCCTCTGATGCAACAATACCCTCTCAGAATCAAAGAGTTAGCACTGATATTTCTTTACTTTTGCTGGAACAACTTTTAGTTTGCATCTAAACGTTACTGATGTTTATGTTCATGTTGACTGTAGCAAAAGCATTTTTGTTTGTCTGTAAGAGCCTTTATTGTTATATTTATTCGGCACACTTATTTACCTTAAAAATGACGTATAGTTCTAAAAAATATGTCGAAAATAATGAAACTGTAGTTTAATTTGCGTATACATCTCCTCGATAAAAACTGTGGACGCAGAGGGACTCAATTCTTGCACAAGAACGGGAATTCCCGTTCGAGCTGTACGGCCTTATAAAAATCTAGAGCTGGGCGTGTATAAGACAAAGCAGAAGAGTTTGGTCACACTCATCATATCTATTTCTAGATAGTACTTCATATACTCAGATACATTATGAAATACTTCTTCCTCTTCTTCTAAGTTCACCCTTAAAATGGTGTTTAGCACATTGTGTTGTGGTTTATAACTAGGCTGCCATATCTGTGCCTTTCGGCCCATCACATATGACCTCAGCAAGTCGTTAATTAATTGTCTTGTACAGCGTGCTTGTTAAGGGGATTGGGTCTTTTCAAGATCAACTTAATGAGGTGCGAAGATGAACTGATTGCAATAAAGTGAGTATATATGTTTCAGCCTTTGGAGAAGTGTTTGCGGATATTGGTGTCAGAGAGCCCCAGCCAGCAGCCAGCGAGGCTTTCTCTCAGTTTGGCGAGGCTCATCGCAACATGGAGAAGTTTGCAATCAAAATGCTGAAGACAGTGAAGCCAATGATCAGTGATTTAAACACATTCCTGCACAAAGCTGTTCCAGATACCCGGCTGACAGTCAAGAAATACTTGGATGCAAAGTTTGAATACCTTGTGAGTTGACTAGGCTCGAAATTAACCTGCATGCCTTGTATCTTTTTTTATATAGTCCATGAACAATTCTTTGAATACCATGGGCCAAGAGAGAGAAAAACATTGACATCCTGCACAACCTAAACATCAAGGAGAACTGGCTCATAAACAGAATCCTGTCCTGGAAGCTGAGTTATTTTGGTATTTGGGCCTTGTCAAGTGCCATGTTGGCAGTGATGGAGGGTGCAGTTTCATGAAAACTGGGCAGAGGTCGACCTCCGCAAATGTGGATACAGACTAAAGATGCTATGAAAGCACATGGGGCTGGAGGATTGGCTGATGTTACCATAATCATCCTCCTGTCATACTATAATGTCACATAGGACTCACTGTCTAGTTCCCCAATTCTTTCTGTCCTGTGCAGTTCTTTATAACTTATTACTGATTTGAGAATTGACATTATAGCACACTGGCCATACCCATAGATGATCCGTCTCCCACAGCAAATGTCTTAAGGTGTAGATGCCAGCTGTTTCCCTAGCACACTGATTATACACCTGTGGTTCTTTTCCTCTCATCCGCCCCTCTTTGCCTGGATCCACACCTAATTCCTCGTTCACACATTCTTACACATGTTATTTTATCTAATCTCATGTCTTCTGTCAACATTTCTTCTTCATAAATGGTCTTCAGAATGTGTTTTTTGTCCAATATGAGTCTTCCCATAGTTATAGCCAGAAAATCCACTTTTTTTTTTCCCTTGTACTCCTGCATATCCCGGACAGTATATCTACATGATTCCCTTTGAATATCATGGATGAATTCCAGTCCAGCATCTTTGGCTTCTCTCACCAATATTTGTTTCAGCGTTTCTCTTGGATTTTCTCATCACCTTGCTCCATTTGTTTCCATGCTCAGTGCCTGTTTGGTGATTCTCTGATCCATTCTTCTCATGTTGCCCCCAGTATAGCTCCTTATCTCCTCTGTCTTATAATTGCTGATACCTGTAGTTATCCAGACACTTATCTTTTGTTTTTACTTTTCTTGGATTACTTCTGTCTGATGAACTGCCATTTCTCCTTGCTAGCAGTCTGAACTATCTAACATCCTGTCTTCTTGTCTCCCTCTGCCCCTCTTTCCTTCAAACTGTCTTGTGTGTATGTGTGCATTTCATCCCATACTTTTGTGTAGATGACTTTCTACACCATCTTTTAGGTGTATATAGGAAACACTGTAACAGACTTGTCTTGAGAAGAATCGGTTAGATGAACCTTGGGGTGGCTGCTTCATCAGGACTGAGCATGCATGGGAATGCTCACTGTGCAGTGATGCCGACTGTGAAAACATAGCATAACATACTTGTGTTTGTATTTAGTATGCATATTATTTGTGTAAGTAAATGAATGTAATATGCATTTTTTTTGTTTTAAAAAAAAACCTTAAGAGAAACTTGACCTTAAAAAAAAAAATTTGCCCTAGTACCAACTGCACAGAGAGCTATAGTGAAGAAATATAGTGAAAACAGGGAAATACAATACAGTTGATGGAACAACAGCATTAAAAACAGCCTGAACCCTTTCGCTCTAAACATGATTACTGCCGGTTGTGACACATTCTGCTGTGACATGATATCAGAACGCTACACCTTTGGTTCTGTTTGCCCCTGCGCAACATTTAGTAGGTAAGGATGTGAACATATTGATTTAAAATAGCATAGTGGAAAAAAGGGGGTGGGGGAGGGGGGGGGGGAGGGAGGGGGGGGGGGGGGGGGGGGTAAATTCATTAACAGAATTCATTAACAGAAGGCTTTTTTAAAAAAACTATTCTAATATTATATCCCTATCTCTCCCCCACCCCCTCACCCCCCCCTGGGTCATAGAATGAGTTACCCGATTTGATTGTTTTGATTTGATTCAAGAACTGACATCACAGCACTCGGGGCATTCCCATAAGCGCTCCGTCCCCATCTTCAGCAGTCAGCGAAGAGTTACGATACTAATGGTGCCAGTAGCATTATCATTAAACGTCCATCTTACCTTTCTTCTGAGCTTTGAGCATCTGCCAGAACCTCTCAGTCACTCATTGCTGCATCAGTCTAACCAGACTGTGGTGATCCATCTGCTACTCCAAACTGTACACTCTCTCCCACAAGGCTCTAACCACGTCTGCCTTATCATGTATCAGTATTCCACCAAGTTGTGCAGAGCCAGCCAGTCTGTCCGCCTGTTCGTTTCCCAACACACCTGTGTCTTCCGCAGCGAAGCATGCCACTCTGTACGAAGCATACCTGTTCTGATCAAATCCTCTGAGGGAGCATTATCTTGAATTAATTGCTGAATTTCCACATCTGTGGCACCTGCTGGCCAGTCTCTGCATTCCCGGCTCAGTGTGATTATGACTCTACACAAGTCTGACTGTTCAGGTGGCACTTTGACCCACTCTTCTCCTCGCCTAATGTTCTCAAGGATGCAAACCTGTCTGATTGTGTCTTCTGCCTGAGCCATCCATGACCTCCCTCTTATCAGTCGCTGGCCCTTAACTGCACCCAGAGCTTCATGCAGAGGGTGGTCTGTGTCTGCAGCTAACCTGAGATATGACTTCAGCTGCAGCACCTTGTGCCTACCTGCAACCGTCGGCAAATCAAGTATGTATCGCATACACACCACTGGGGTGTCTCTGGTGCAACCCAGAATGACCCGCATAGCCGCGTTCTGTATGCGCTCTAGTTTGTCTATCTGACTCTTTGAGACGGTAAGCAACCCCAGGCCATAATCAACCACTGATAGGATCAGGTGCTGATACAGTGTGAAAAGCATTCTCTGCTCTATGTCAGTTGCAGCCATAGTCTTAAGTGCACTAAGTCCTTTTTGGCATCTCGTCACAACACTCTCCACATGGTCCTTAAATGACAGGCTCCTGTCAAATGTAATTCCCAGATACTTCAGTTTGCTCTCTCTGTTGATGTTTCTACCATCTATCGTGAGACTTAGGACATTAGCTTTAACGATTCTGTAGTCCAGAGAACACCACAAAACAGACGCCTTTTCCGGGTGGACGACAGCCCTCATTTCTGTACACCACTCAGTCACTTTGTCTACTGTCGCTTGTAGCTCCCGGACTGTTCCCCCTGCCTATATACAAGTATATCATTTGCAAAAAGTCAGTATCCTTTCAACTCCTGGTGCTTCTAGGCTTGCAATCTTGCTCGTATACACGTTAAAGAGCACAGGCGAGATGGCCGATCCCTGTGGCCGTCCTGGGGCCAAAGTGCATGGTTCTGAGGTCCACGAGCCCAGTTGGAGAGAAACTCGACAGTACAGCTGCAACCCAATTCACCAGCCATGGACTTCTCCCTCAGTGCATTCATTAAGATGTCATATCTCACTCTGTTATAAGCATCCTCAAGATCCAGTCCTGCCCCCATAGTTTCCTGTCTGTTCTGGAACACTTAATAGACGTCAAAAGCAAAAGTGGCCGCATTTGCCCAAGTGTCCTTTCCTGGCCTGTAGCTTCCCAGACCTCTTGGAGAAGCTTCCCCCTTTTCAAAAAATGTTGCAGCTTTACAGCAACTATCTTCTCCAAGACCTTTCCAAATGTGTTTTGTAAGGTGATGATTCTAAAGCCACTGAGCTTAGAATGATCTTTAAAAGGTTTTGGTAGTGGGATTAGATAGCTATGCATCCAGTCCTGCGGTACTGATGCTGTCTTAATGCTCTGGTTAAAACAGTCGGCGATCTCTGCTAGGTCTACATCGCTCAAAGCCTTCATGTGACCATACCTGACTCCATCAGGCCCTGGTGCAGTGTCTTTTGCTTTTTTCAAAATTTGTTTTATATCTTGTAAGTTACCCAATACATTTTTAAAGTCTCTGTGTAAGATATTCCATTTAGTACTTTACTTAGTTTTTTTTTTTTTTGATAACAAAAAAAAATAAATATATGTTTTTCTATATTGTGGTAGAACAAATTAGAAAATATAAACACATTAAAAAAAAATACTAGTGACCTGTATAAAATGGTTGTACTTGTATAGATTTTTGGAAAGAATTTATGGCTTAGTTTATTAGGGATCACAGGGGGACAGGATCAAAGAAATTCTTATAAACTTATACATCACATTAGAAAGAGCATGAAGGTGATTCTCTGTTACAGTCTTATTGCCTGAAAGTCAAGGAGATGGATGATGAGGAGTACAGCTATGCTGCCTTGCAGGAACCACTCTATCGTGTGGAGACGGGCAATTATGAATACAGGTGACATCTCTTTCTTTTCTCTCCTATATTTGTCACTACTGTCATTGTAATACACCCTTGCCCCTAACCAAATGGGGGCCTGGAACCCAGACCGGGGTATCTCTGTCGTACACATTTTGCTGTTTTCTTTTATTTTAAGCTAGAAGGGAAGAAGAGCTCTCTAACACAGTCCCCATTGAGGAGGTGCTTTGCAAGAGAGTTCTGAAGACATCTAAATGCAAAATTCACAGACTTTAGAGTATTTAAACTCCCCATGTGGGTTTGGAGGGCCATTGTGGGGAGAGCAAGAATAGACTGTTTTCTTACCCAAAAGAGATGTTGTAAGAGTCGCCTCATTGTTAGCTTCCTTCGAAGTCTGAGTGAATCTGCCCGAGCGGCAAGGAACAACCAACTGTACTCAAATAAGCTAGTAAAAGGGATGTACACGCAAAACTCAGGCCCTGGCACAAAGCCAAAGTCCAAATGGATGAACAACCAGGACTTTCTGCAGGAGCTTACAGTCGGTGAACAAAGAAGAAGAAGAATATTTTAACTGTCTGGGTACCAAGGAAAGCACCATGAGTTGATTTATAACTAATTTAATTAACTGTCCTCTTGTACTGATAGAGCAAAACTCCTAAGTAATCATTGAAACTGTCTTGCCTGCTGTTATTGCATACAGGTTGATCTTGAGATGTCGACAGGAAGCAAGGTCAAGGTTTGCCAAAATGAGGTCAGATGTCCTAGTCAAGATGGAATTGTTGGACCAGAAACATGGTAATAATCCAGACTCCACATCGTGAATTTCCATTAAACTGTAGCAGCCTTGGCTTATTTATTTATTTATTTTTTAAATTAATTTTTGTAAACATTTTGTTGTTGTTGCTATCAGCTGTTAACTACGCATTTTTTCATATTTTATTTCTTCAGTATAAATTTTAGATGTGTCTCAGTTTACTTCTATTTTTCTTTGAGTATGTGTCGATTTCTTTGTATGTTTTCTTTGAAATTTAAATTTAGCTATGCATCTGTTTTCTTGTCTGTTTTCTTTGAAATTAAAATTTAGCTCTGCATCTGTTTCTCTCTGTTCTTCTTTTTCTTCTTCACATTCCGGACTGTAAACTTGTTCCAAAAAAGCTGTTGTGTGCATATTTGTTTGACAGATCTGGCTTTTTTGTATGCTGACTGTTTATTCATTGCCTCTCAGGCAGATCACTCTGGCTTTGAAGGATGCAGCCAATTAGTCGACTCATATGAGATGCTTGTTTGGGAGGCAGAAGGTCTGTTCTTGTTTTCCCCTCAATGAAGCCCTAGAACCCACGCGAGAAGGATAAAATTAAACTATGCCTCTGTTTCTTAAAATTCTTTTTCGGCAGTAAACATTAACAGTGTATCCGTTTATTCATATCCAATCTGGTAAAACAATTAGCAGGAGCCGCTGAGATGTATTGGCAAGACACTCACCTGTGGATTGGAAGGTCATTGTTTCTGGTCCTGACGGAGCCGGATTAAAAAAAAAAAATGATTTTGGCTGCCATGTCCGCCCAGTCTTGAGTAGGTGCAGTCCTGGAAAGTAAAGGTGGCTGGCGTCATGCTGACCACATAACTCACCAAGTGCTGATTGGTCTATAGCATATAGTCTAGCCATATATTCTGCTGTACGCCCGACCGCATGGAAAAAGGTTCTTTACTTTACCTTTTATGCATCTGTTTATTCTGTCTTCTTTGACAGTAAACAGTAACCATAGGACTATTGGTGATTGTAGAAGACTGCATGAGTGTAGAAAACTGTGGTTGAGTGCAGAATCCTATGTGCATGGGTGCAGAAAACTATGTGGGTGTGAAGAAAACTATGTGGGTGGGTGCATATCCTATACCTTTTTGTTTAAAACTTAATCTAACATTTCATGTCATTTTTCTTCAGTTCAAGACATGTCTTCCAGCTTCAGAAGTTTGTCACAGCCATGGCCAAATACCACACTGACTGCCATGACACCATGAAAGGCGCAGTTGTCTTCCCTATTGAAGTAGACCTGTCTCGTGGAACTTTCACCTACGACACATCCAACAACTTTAATGATGGCGGTGAGGAAGAAGAGGAAGGCGAGAATGATGATGAAGATGATGACGATGATGAAATGATTGGACATGAAGGATCAGCGGGTCAAGGAAATATCTTGACAGGAAACTTACTGGGAGATTAATTTGTTCTCTAACATCTGAGAGCTCTTTGTGTGTTCCATTTCTGTTAATAATCATTTGTTCAGTTTGTGATAATTTTAATGTAAAATGATACATTTATTTAATTTGAATGAGCATATTCTGTTGATCTTATATGTGTTCTAATGTGTCATCGCTTTGTTATTAGTCGAATTAGGTTTACGACACTCTGGACCTGACCATAGATGTTCAGATTTCCCTTCCCCCATCCCTCAGCATATACTTCAGCACCCTGCAGTTAATAGTTAAATCCTTTGCTGGTTGACAAGACTTCTCATACATCCGTTGGGCTTCTCATGCCTAGCGGTGTTAATCTTTTCTCCCATTTGTTTTTCATTCTTAGCAGCAATGTGTGCGCTGCCCTCAGAACATCCTCTCTCTGATTGTGCTTGCTATCCATGGGTTGACCATATGCAATTATGCCAGCCAATCTTTCACTTCTGTTATTGCCAGCAACACATACATATTGTGTTGTTTTCTGATGGGCTTGTTTCCCATTTTTGACAAGTTTGATATTTAATTTCCAATTATGAATTTACGTAACGAGGGCACCAGCTTTATGTTGCACATTTTGATCCTTTCACCTCAAGAAGCTACAAGCCCAGTACTTCTGGTAATGTCCATTTCTAGCCTATATTAAAAAAAATATATAAAAATAGAAAATTTAGATACAGTTTTTTTCTAAACAGTTTATTAGTGACATGTGTAAAGTGTTTGCTGGTTTTAAGTTTGGGTTTCATGGGTTCATTACCCATTTGTTTAGCTTTTCCTGAAGTGAAGGGCTTAAATCTGGTACTTTCCAAAATGGTTTCTTCACATAAATGAGTGGAGATTCTGCAAGTCATACACAACTAGTCAAGAGCAAATGTCAAATTCTTCTTTGGCCTGTCATATACTAAGCTGTGAGCACATCATTGATAAATCATTGTGCTTTCTGGAGTTGATTTTGTAAGTTGCTCAAGCATTGGAATAAGGATGAACGGTCCTGTCTTATGTAAACAAAAGGATCACATGGTTAATCTAAGACTTGTTAGTGAGATGCAGAGTGTAGCTGTGGACTGTGATGTTGTCAATTTCTATTGTAAGCATTAATTGTTTTAAGAATTATATGACACAAATCCTTTTTCTTCTCTTTCCTTTAATTTCCTACCCTTTTTAAAAGAATGAGATACTGAGAAGTATTTAAGGCAAAACATTATGCAGTCTATTGGTTGTGTCCTCATTATGTGAATTTGATAAATTTTTTCCATTTGTGATAGATTTATTGTACTTATGGTAATCATTTTTTTATTTACGATAGATTTGAAAAGATTTAAGATACAGTTGTTCCATTTTAATGAATTTATTCCATACACAAAAGATTTGTTACATTATGATGCATCTGTCTCAAACAAAACCCTTCACCCCCGCCCCATCCCACTCTTTCTCCATTTACATTACATGAAATTACCTTTTAATACATTTATGAACCAGAACATTGTCACTCTTGAGCTAAACTTGTTTCTCCTTGGGTAATTTTTTGCCATCTTTCTTTAGCTGGATACAAGTAAATGTGGAAAGTAAACATGGTTGCTGTAATGTTGACTATATCATCCACTGAATGCCAGAGGGTTTATAGAAATGCTGGGATAGTAGCTCACACCCTAAACACCAGAAGGAATTAAAAAGGTCCTTTATTTTTGTTTTGTCATCGTCTGTGGTTTAGTCATTACTATTGTGATTCATAATGCCAGGATTCCAGTTCTTCATTTGTTATCCTGTTCGGCCAAAATACTCCTAATTGTCAAAACCAACACACAGCGGGCTTCTGCCAAATCACCTGCAGCTGGAATCAGACAAAGTATTTCAGAATTATTAACCGCGGTGGTTACTCCTAGGCCACAAACTCTAACTACTGAAACTGTATGGATACGGCGTAAGTCCTGGTACGGTTTATTTCGGCAAATCACAATACGCTTGTAATTGCTAAAAGTGATTTGGCAGCAGACCGTCTTACATTGGTTTCAACAGTAGTACTAAGAGTCGACTGTTTAGAAGCAATGGCAAACTACTGAACGTAAATTTGCCTAGAAAAACCACAACCAAAAAATGTTAGGGTTGGTTTTGCACCACCTTAAGGATGTCCAGCTTACTCCCCCCCCCCTCCCCCATTATTCAACTTATGCCATCTATCATTCACATCCTTTCTTGTACAATTCAAGTTTGTTCAAGTTAATCTTGTCCGAACATATGTATTTATTCCTGTATATTTCCAGACTGATTGCCTAAATGCTGCATAGGTACAAAATCAACTAATCATCATTGGTATTTATATATATGAGGAGGGTTCATTTAAAACCCATTCAAATGGAATTATTATAAAACAGGCAATTTATAAAAATGACTTTATTATAAAGGAAACATCAACGCGTGAGGTGTGGCAGAATTAAACAAAGGCTTCCTTTTGAATGAATCATGCAGCATGGGCTGGTCAGGTCAAGTGTCTACAGGCATTCAGGCAAGCATCCTGTTGCTTATTTAGAATGCCCCCCCACCCCCCACCGCTCCATAAGATTCTGAGTGTTAACCACTTTCCTTACGACTACATCTGTGAGAAATTGTTGCCCCTTGAGAATTTTAGAGGTTCAGACAAATGAAAATCACGTGGTAATAAACCAGGTCTATAGGCTGGATGTTACAGAGTTTCTGACTTCATCCATGCTGACCCTTCCTGCACAATTTAAAAACAACAACATGTGGATGAGCATTATTGTGCAGCAAAATCACACGGCTAAAAAGTATACCAGATGTTATTCTTAATGGTTTTATGCAGCTTGTCTAGTGTCTGCAAGTAGTGGATGGAGTTGATGTTGACACCAGGTTTTTCGAGGTCTGCCAACAACAGCCCTTTACAATAAAAAAAAAAAAAAAAACAATATGCTCAGCTTAACTGAACCAGTGGAAACCTGAAGCTTGAATTGTTTGGTTTGTAGTGATCCAGCCTGCTTTTATTGCATACAGTCTCTTTTGCTGCTGGGCTCAAAGTGATGGGGCCCTGGTTTTTGTGCAATAGAATGTGAACAAGAAATATGTCACACTCTGTAAGAAAGCAAATGATTCAGATATGATCCTATGTTCCTTCTTTTGGTGGTCAGTCAACACCTTCAACAATTTCCAATATTGCAGTTTCTTAGGAATGACCGTTGGAACAGTCCCAATTGACACTTGAAATTCATTCGCTAGCGAATGTGTGATTCAGCATTGATACACCTGTATTGCTGCATCAATTTTGGCGATGGTTTCTTAAAAAAATTTTGCAATATGTGCTTGACCTGCCATGTGGAAATCTGTATTGTGAACTCTGAAACATTTCTGCCCACTCTGTCATAATTGTCTTCGATACACATTTGTTACCTTATGCTGCCAGCATTCCTCAAAAAATGCCAACTGGAAGCCACCACCTATGTATATGTTGTTTGAATTGAATTCTTAGTGGACTTGATATCTTGGTGACGACTGGCAAAAGTGAGGGGAAGGAAAAGAGATAGATCCCTGAATGGCTTAGCTGTATGGTTTGCCTGTGTTTATCAGCATGACACATGATGATGTTAGAATTTTTAAAGAAGGCATTCCATATTTCCACAGTCCATTTTTTTTTTTCTTGTATTATTAGGTTTTTTTAATAGAGCTTTTTTTGCTCTCATTATTTTACATTTTTATATCATTATTTTATGATTTGAGACGAATGTTGTCAGTTTGTACTTCAAAAATTGCATGGTTTGTTTTGACATTGTGAGCGTAAAATGTTTAAAACGGTAACTTATGATGATAAATCAGAGGTGATTGTGATGCTCTGGATAACATGATTCTGGGTCTACTTTGTCCGTGTCAGTAGGCACCCTAGAATACCCAGCGGGGCTGCAGACATGGTCTAGTCTGCGTGCAGTAGCCAGGAGATGCCAAGTCTGGCCAGTTTAAATTCCAATGGAAACCCAAGATCAGGGGAGGACATTTCTAGCACCACAACCTTTTGCTCTATAAAATGTAGGTCTAGCCCTATATGCCCAATACATTCGAAGATGTGGAAAAGGGTCTTTTTTTTTTTTAAACAGTAGGATCTTTTAAAAATACTTTTAAAAATGTACTTTATCAAGGACCGTAATCTCTGCAATACTAGTGTCTCAAAACTGTTGTGATCGACATTTTATTTGATTGATGGAGTGTAAATTTATCAAGAATGTTATATATAAAATAACATTGTGATTGTTTAAGATTCACGATTTTTCCCACAGGTTATGTTCTGGAGGATATTTTGTCTTTTCTCAGATGTTAATTATGTGCAATAAACCACATTTCCCAACTCATATTGTTTTTGTTTTAACCTTTTGACCACCTTTGTTTTAAAAAAAAATAGCTTTTTTGTATTGTTTTCTTGGAGGCATAGTCTTTTCTTTTGCTGATAGGTCTATAAAATATATGTCTAGTGCTATATGCTTAAAGGTGTGGAAAAGGGTCCTTTACTTTTTATTTTTCATAATCTTTTTGTTGGCTTTTGCATTTCATCTCCCAGTGAAGCCTTACTTAATTCATTCTGTGCCTTCTCCACTATGAAAGTTGGCTACTGTACATTCACTGCTTTCTTCAGGAATATTACATGGTGAAGCACCCCAATCTTTTCCGTAGTGTGACTCTTCCACTGTCCTGTTCACGTTTCCAGTCCTAGTATAAGAGTAACTTCCCTTGCCATTCATGCCTCCTTAGGTTGCTAGACCTCTTCTGTGTTGTGGGTGTGTTATTATATGGCTTGGTTTTGGCGTATGTAATGTTTGTGGGAGGTTGTGCTGTTGTGAGTCTATTCTACTAGCGGTGGCTCCCCCCAAGAGAAAGAAAGCAGTTAAAAGAAGCGTATGAATAGAAAAATATTGCTGCTTCCATACTCCCCAATCATTGCTCAAGTAGCAGAACTAGAAAATAATCAGGCAAGCAAGCGGAGAAAAGAGGCAACGGTTAAACCGTTCACAATAAGGAAAACTTGACTCCCCTGCAACATAGGAGAGGTCCAGCGACCTAAGAGGCATGAATGGCTGGGGAAGTTACTCTAATCCTGGATCTGGAAACGTGAACAGCAACCCCCCCCCCCCCCCCCCCCCCCCCCACTACTGTATGAAAGCCAGAGGATAGTTTTTTTCTCCACTGGAACCATGAGAGCCACTGTCGTGTAGTGGCTAGACGCTCGCCTGCGGGCCGGAAGGTTCTAAGTGCAACTGAGACTCGTAATTATCCACAAAGCATTTATATAAGCTTTCTCTTTAGCCCTACAATATTTTAAGGTATATTTATCCATAACGAGAACAGCTCATTACTGTAGTTGTTTATACAGCTTCTAGCACAGTATTGCCGACTTTTCAGATAAAGAGTGGGCCCATGCCTTCGCCTTAATATCTCTGTTTAGTCCAATTTCCCAAGAGAGAGAGAGAGAGAGAGAGAGAGAGAGAGAGAGAGAAGAGAGAGAAAGAGAGAGAGGTGTTTAATCTGACTACTCAGTGGATTACTATGCAGAACATGGAAGGTGAGGCAGGCTTAAACAAAAGAGAGAGGCTAAAAGACGGTATATGTTTTGTATTCTGCGTCAATTAAGTTAAAGTTATGTCATCACAGTCGACATCACTGAACATCTGGGCATTTCCATGCGTGCTTAATCCTCCGATGCGAGCGCTACCCTAGGGTATTTGACTGATTGTTCCTATGAGAAGCCAGTTATGTCTCCAGTCTTGACCTTAAAGATGGAACCAGCGTGTTTCACTCCGAGATCATGCAGTCTAATTAGTCACTGTTAGCTCTCTGAGATTCATTAACCGAAAGGTTCGATTATATTTGTGCGCGTCTGTTCCCCTCCCTCCGTCAAGCTTTTTAGTCTACTTTATGATGACAAAATAGTACAGAAATTTAAGTATCTGGGCACATGGATAACATCAGATGGAAGATGCATAACTGAAATAAGAAACAGAATTGGACAGACAAAAACTGCTTTTTATGAAATGAAAAACATCTTGTGCAATATATCCTTGTCATTGAGAGTTAGAAAAAGAATTCTTGCTTGCTACATACATCCAGTTTTAAAATATGGATGTGAATCCTGGACAATCGGTAGGCAGGCCAAACAATTTTTAGAGGCCTCAGAGATGTGGTTTTACAGAAGAATGCTTAGAATACCTTGGACGTCCAAAAAGAGCAACCAAGAGGTTTTAAAAGAGGCGGGAGCCCGAAGACAACTTATCACTGACATCAGAAGGAGACAGTCATCATTTTTCGGCCATGTTATGAGAAGAGGGAAAATAGAACATGTTGTGACCACTGGAAAGATCTGTGGAAGGAGGGATAGAGGAAGACAACGAGAGAAGATGCTTGACAGTCTTGTTGCATGGCATGGAGGTGTGTCGGCACACGAACTGATACATGCTGCAGGAGATCGCGGATTATGGAGAGGCATGATCGCCCACGCCAGTCGGCAAGGCACCTGATGATGATGATGATGACGACGATGGTGATGATGATGATACCGGAAGTTGAATGTTATTTCACCGGAAGTGCTTGTTCTGTTTACATCCCGCTCTACACGGACAGAATGGCGAGATTTGAAGCTGCTCCGTCAATTTTGGGAAATATTGCCTTTAAAAAGGCACTTTTTCAGTCGCCGTCACCAGCACCGGAAACTACAAAGTCAACTACAAATTCTGGTACGTTGTGGAGTTGATAATAAGATGTGTCTGTAAAGATAAATTTATTGATAGTAAAATTTAGACTCTACTTCGACTTGCAGATTTGTTATCGATAGTAAAATTTTTTAAATGCCCGACAATACCAATAAAACCAGCACAGTTAGATAGCTGTAAACAATCTCTTTCCAACGGTACCTCATTTAGGCTTGTATGTCATTTTTGAGCTGAGATATGTAGGTTTTTGTGGAGATGAGATGTAAAAAACAGCTGCTAAAACTTGTGTCTGAGAAACAAGGTTTTCTCTGCGCAACCAAACTGCGCAACTTTCGTTTTGGCTTTGTTTTCATTGGACAAGATGGCAGACAATTTTTCTCAGACACAGCCACATAATAGCGATTGCCTGAAAAATGTCAATGTACATCTAAACAGCCACAGACAAGAAAGAAATTGTATACACAAATGTAAAATTGGACGGAGAATTCAATTATATCTAGCATTACCATGTCTGGTAATGTTTACGGAATAAAGCCAACCTTGAATACTTTACCGCTACTATTATAAACAGAGGACTTCCGGCTGTCGTAGACATGCGCTGTTAATCGGGTTCGTTCCCGCCATTTTCAGCCATTTATAGCTGGTGAAAATCACACCAATTGCAAAATTTCATGAGAGATTAGGACCCATCCCGAAACCCCAGCCGACATTTCCCAAACAAGTTTCGAACGGTTTCCATAGTAACGGAAATTGCCAAAAAGACCTCAAATTGCCAAAACTGTAGTCGCTATGAATAGTCGGCGCTCCTTTGATTCATTCCCCAAAATGGCGGCATGCCACATTCTGGCCATAAAATATCCAAAAATATCTGAACGACGGTGTTCGTGTATATCTAAAATACGGACTTTCTGCCAAGGAACAAATCGCGGCAAAACTAGGATTACTTGACAATCAATATCAACATTTGCACACGGTACTAGTAGCAGACGATAAATACCGACCGTTGACAACAATTTCGAGCGTTTCTGCATACGATACTAGCAGACGATATTAGCGACCGTTGACCAATTTCGAGACATTACAGACGATGAAAGCCGATTAGCAATACTGTGTTCTTCTGATTGGAGGATTTAGCAGCGGTAGATGTCAGACTTGTTGGCATGCGCCAAACGCGATTAAACTCATCGCTACGTGCGGCGCGGATGGGGGCTAAACTAGGTGCCTGGGACTCACGAGTACAGTAATTAGAGGAAGTTGCAGGAGATGAGGTAGCTGCCGCTCGTGAGTCCCAGCCATCTAGTTTAGCCCCCATCCGCGCCAAACATAGCGGCGCGTCGGATACGCTCGGCGGTAAGGCACACTCGCAGAAGGAGGTCGGCAAACAACGTATCGCCGAGACCCTGTCAGAGCATTTGTTTCGTTATCCGGAGCCGGCACATATATTTTTAATTGAACTGACCCGCATTCGGATATTTTATGGCCAGAAATTGGCCAATTTAGCTCTCTTTCGAACGCCATCATATTAAAGCCGCCATTTTGGGGACCGATTCAAAGAAGAGCCGAATAGTAAATACCACCATTAGTACAATTCAGTCCCATTGAATGAAATTTCAAGAAAAATAAAATGTCATTATTAATGATAATGAATAATCATAATTAATCTGAATATAAATCAATAATAAAAAAACGGCTCATTATAGGACCTGCTTGTAAACGACGTGTTATCAACGTACATATTATGATATTGGGCTATCCTCCGAATAACGGTCCCAAATTATCGAGGCCGAAAATATAGGCTTTCCTCCTAACTTCTACCCCCGCATTATGGCGGCCTGAAATATCCGTTCGGGGCTCAGTCTAATGAAAAAGGTGGAATTTCTGCCAAGGAACAAATCGCGACAAAACTAGGATTACTTGACAATTTCAAGAGACGCAACATTGCAGACGGTGACAATGTCGAGCGTTTCTGCAGACGATACTAACAAACGATAAAAGCGGCCGTTGACAATTTCGAGACATTACAGACGATGAAGATCATCGAAAGAAGGCTGAGACCATTGATAGAGTATCAACTTTCAGAAGCACAGATGGGCTTTCGACAAAACAGAAGTTGCACAGATGCCATTTATACATTGAGACAACTATCAGAGAGGGCAATAGAACATGATAAGACATGTTTGTTGACATTCATAGACCAAGAAAAAGTCTTCGATAGAGTCGACAGGAATATGTTGTGGGAATGTATGGGGAAAAAAGGAATCAGCAATCATCTCATTAATATTTGCAAAAGCCTGTACACAAGTAGAAAATGCTGCATAAGATCGAAGGCAGGGTTGTCAAGAACTTTTATAGTGAACTCTGGTGTGCGTCAGGGCTGTGTACTATCGCTGCTTCTTTTTATAACATACATGGATACCATATGTAGAGAAACGAAATTTAACCATGAAGAAGATATTACAGAATTACTTTTCGCTGACGACCAGGTACTCATAGCAGAAAATACGGAATGCCTACAGAACCACCTAAATCAAATTAGTAACAAAGGGGAGGAATATGATATGAAAATAAACACTACGAAGACAGAGACAATGATGATAGGAAGACATAAGAACAATTTAGAAATTAAATTAAAAAACAATACCCTGAGACAAATAGAGGAACTTAAGTATTTGGGAGCAATTTTTACATCTGACGGAAAACTTGACAGAGAAATTAGCTCCAGATGTGCCAAAGCTAATCAAGTAATGGGTCAACTATCTCCCCTGTTGACACACAAGCAGATACCTCGGAGTAGTAAAGTGAATCTTATCAGAACTATTTTTTGGCCAACATTGTGCTATCAATGCCAAACGTGGACACTTACATCCTCCAATGAACGTAAAATTATGACAACAGAGATGAAATGCCTTAGAAGAGCTGCCGGAGTTTCAAGGAGGGACAGAATACGAAATCATGAAATCAAAAGAATGCTAGAAATAAAGCCAGTCTTACAGGTCATCAAAGAACAACAAATGAAGTGGTTTGGACACCTAACAAGAATGCCCTGGTACTATCCGCCACAGCGAGCCACACTAAAACGTTACAACGGGTATAGAGCGAGTGGAAGACCTCGGAAAAGATGGAGTGATGGCATTAAGAACAGCCTTACAGAAATGAACATCAGTCTTAATAGTGCTCTTGAGAGAGCCCATCAACGAACATTACATCTCCCCCCGTCACTTCGATGAGGTACAAGGGTGAAAAGAAGAAGAAGAAGAAGACAGACGGTGAAAGCGATATGGCGGGTAGACTACGCGCTCCCACGCAGATTAGCAATACTGTTCTTCCAATTGAGGATTTGGCTCTCCTGTCAACTACGGCCGGTAGACAACAGTAGACGGCCGGTTAGTCGGAGTTCTGTCCCCTTGCTGCAGTGCAATTACGGAGTGGAAAGGAGGGAACGAAACAAATGACATAATTACTGTGTGTTGGCGATAGACAGCATGCACTGCCCTGCTATAATCATACGGTTATGGTTTGGGGTAGGGGTAAGGTGTGGGATAGGTTTAGGGTTAGGGTTACGGTTAGTGTCACCGCATCTCGTCGTCGCGCAAACTCATGGTAGCAACCCTACCCCTAACCCTACCTTAACCCAAACCCTAACTATGTGATGACAGTAGGGCACTGTACGCTGTCTATCGCCAACACACAGTAAATATGTCACTTGTGTCGTTCCCTCTAATCCACTCCGTAATGCGTCACAAGACGCGGCAATTGACTGCGGTCCCAGCGCGGGTCTGCTAGGCATGTCGACCTCACTTTGTTATCTGATTCGTGCCTTCTCCAGTCCGTAATTGCACTGCAGCCAGAGGACAGAACTCTGACTAACCGCCCGTCTACTGTTGTCTACCGGCCGTAGTTGACAGGAGAGCAGCGGTAGATGTCAGACTTGTTGGCATGCACAAAACGCGATTAAACTCGCGGCGAGGATGGGGGGCTAAACTAGGTGCCTGGGACTCACAAGCAAAGTAATTAGAGGAAGTTGCAGGAGATGCGGTAGCTGCTGCTCGTGAGTCCCAGCCATCTAGTTTAGCCCCTATCTGCGGCGCTGGGGATACGCTCGGTGGTGAGGCATAGTCACAGAAACAGGTCCGCAAGTAACATATCGCTGAGGCCCTGTTAGAGCATTTGTTTCATTTTTCCGAGCCGATCCTGTCAACGGTCGCTATTATCGTCTGCAGTGTTGCGTCTCTTAGAATTGTCAGGTAATCAGAAACAATAAGAAACAGGTCCGCAAGTAACATATTGCTGTGACCCTGTTAGAGCATTTGTTTTAATATACGGAGCCGGCATATTATTTAATAGAACTGAGCCCCGAATGGATATTTCAGGCCGCCATAATGCGGGGGTAGAAGTTCGGAGGAGAGCCAAAATACACCCTAACAGGGCCTCAGTCACATGTCAATTGTGAACTTCCGGCGACTTAAATTGCGTACTTCCGACGACTTCCGCCACGGCCGAGAGTATTTCCCATGCTGCTACGTTTGACGGGGATTGGGGCTAACTAGATGGCTGGGACTCACTAGCAGCAGCTACCGCATCTCCTGCAGCTTCCTTCATTTTATTCGCTCGTGAGTTCCAGCCATCTAGTTTAGCCCCAATCCATGCCGCAGGTAGCGGCGTAGGGAGATACTCTCGGCGTTGACTATATAGTCCCTGGAAGTTCGCAATTGACATGTGACCGAGGCCCTGTTAGGGTATATTTTCGGCCTCGATAATTTGGGACTGTTATTCAGAGGATAGCCTGATGTTGATTCTGTCCCATTTAGTTTCCACTTTTATATCGTGAGAAGCCCACTGAAAAGGGAATTAGTCATAATTCAGCTTCACAAACAAACAAACGTCACCCATTTGCACATTGCATGAATAGACATTACCACAAATACTAACAAGAAGATAGATCATTACGGTCTAAAGAGAATGTCGCTGCGAGGAGTTACCAGGGGATCTGGCCATCGCTTAAAACTCAGGGGAAGGATGAGACGAATATTATTATATAATCAGACGGTTACTGGTACCATCAGAATTCAATTAGAACTCTTCCCTTGCTGCTGAAGATGTGGACGGAATACTAATAGGAGTGTCCTGAGTGCTGTGATGTCGATTCCTAATTCAACTTTCTAACAAGAGTACCAAAAAAAACATGTATCTTTATTTTCTTTCGTTTCAGAACTGGCTCCGTCAGCATCACTTATCTACAAAGTTCAGCTTCAACATGATATTGATTTAAATCTCCACCATATTAAGAAAAGTAAGTTAACTCTTAGATCTGCTGTCCTTTATACTTTATAATAAATTCAGTTATGTGACAAGAAAGGTTGTCCTTATAGTCCATGTTGTGTGGCGTTGGCAGTCATGTCTATCCACAACTTTCTCTTTCTCTCTCTCTCTCCCCCTCCCTCCCACTCACCCACTCACTCACTCTCTCTCACTCACTCTTTCTCTCACCCACTCACTCACTCTCTCTCTCACCCACTCACTCTCTCTCTCTCTCTCACCCACTCACACACTCTCTCACTCACTCACTCACCCACTCACTCACTCTCATACTTTCAGTCAATTCTGACACAGATGATCTCCCAAGCCATGATGTAAAACTGTCCAGCATCTCCTCTCTCGGTCTCCCTCTGCCTCTTTTTTCTGCACCTTTCTCACCATCAGGATGTACTCTAGTTCATGTGACATGACCAAAGAATATAATTTGAAGAATAATTTACCATACTTTATTTCTTGAGCTAACTTTATCACCTGATGTCCGCATATACAACAGACAGCAAAGCATTCCAGTTCTGGTGGTACCAGAGCAGTATTTGTCCATCTTGCTGTTCCCTTGAGTGTTGAATGTCGGCCAGATCCCCGCAGCACCATTCTCTTTACTTTACTTAGTCGCTCCTCTTTTTCCATGGGGTGTAGAGGTTTGCCAGAGAGATCATCAGACGTCTCTATTAGCAGTTTTCTTCCTGGCTTTGTTCCATTCCAGTCCTCTGTCAGTTAGGGACTGTCCGATGTTGTCTTCCCAGCAGACCCTGTGTCACCCTGGTGGTCTGGTTGCCATTCTCTTTCTTCTGTGATCTATTTGTGCTGCTGCACTGTTCACTCGCTCTCAAAGGGTCTTGATAACATTTAGTTTGTCCTGCTCAGTTTAGCACAAAGTAGTGCAGAACTAGCCAGTCGTAGTGCGGAACCAGCCAGTCATAGTGCGGAACCAGCCAGTCGTAGTGCGGAACCAGCCAGTCGTAGTGCGGAACCAGCCAGTCATAGTGCGGAACCAGCCAGTCATAGTGCGGAACCAGCCAGTCGTAGTGCGGAACCAGCCAGTCATAGTGCGGAACCAGCCAGTCATAGTGCGGAACCAGCCAGTCATAGTGCGGAACCAGCCAGTCATAGTGCGGAACCAGCCAGTCATAGTGCGGAACCAGCCAGTCATAGTGCGGAACCAGTTAATCTCAAGACAAAGGCTGCTGGCATCACCAGACTTGATATAATCTAAAATGGAGTCATAGGAAAGAACCATAGTTTCTAACATGACAAAACCCTTGACCTATTAGGGTCGTGTAGGTGTATTGATGGAAGCACCAGCACATAAAACCCGCCATCTTTCTCTGTCTTTCACTTGATAAATAAGTGTATGATAACTTAGTCCTGTCCATTTCTTGATGTTGTAATTTCAGGTTCTTCTTTGCCCTTCTCTTCTTCAACTACCACCCAGTGTTCCTTGAAGTGCAATCTCGAATCATGTCTTACCCTAGTTTCTAAAATACATTGAAACTAAGGCAAAAAAATTGTTTGCCAACTTACAGAGAATGGTTTGTGACTACAAACCATACAAAACCTATATCTAAGGAGGACGAAGGCACAATGCTCGAGGTAGATGGAGAATATGTTGGAAAATTTAAGAGAAACTTTTTTTTAAAAGTAGCTATCACCAGCAGTTTCTATGACATTTACTGCCAAATATTGGTGATACAGTTTGCCTTGATGCCAAACAACATAGCCTATAGTAGGATTATATGATCTATTAAGACGAGCATTTACGGAGATATCTGTGGGTGCGTTGAAGGTTGGCTTTTACAAACACACAAGTCAGGTAATGAATACCCAATGTGGGAGTATCTATCCGACCACTTTAACAAACATGTAATAAAAGGTGACTAATTAGTGGTGTCACCTGATTGCATCTACCTGAGAGAAGAGAAACCAGTAGTCTGCACATGAAGTAGCCAGAACTGTAAATGGACATGCATGTAAAACCAAAGTTTTGGGACTAGACTAAAATCCAGATCTGAATGAACAACCACAGCTTTCTGTAGAAGCTTTCAGTCATTGAATGCTAAGAAGTAGAAATAATGAATTTCTAAAGTGACTAAGCTTATACTTCTTTACTCTTCTTTTTTCTTCTCCCACTAGTATTTAGGTTCTCAGCCAACTGAGGTGCTTGTATTCATAATTGGTTGGAATTCGCAGCTGAAGCTTTCTACAGGAGTAGGTGAGTGGGTCTTATATTTGTTGTTATCTAATTTTTTCCTTTTATCTTCAGGTATTCACATCGAGCGCCTGAAAAATCTGAGAGAGCTGTCAACTAAATTACAAGACGATGACTGGCGATACGAGTCGGCAGAGAAGCTCACAGGACTTCAGTAGCTGGCTGAATTGTTGCAGCTTCGATGGATGTAGTCTCTGTTCCAACTCATGAACATGCTGTTTTGTGAAGTTCCTCTGTTCCGACTGATGAACATGCTGTTTTGTGAAGTTCCTCGGGTTTATGTTGATCTTCTTCTTAGTGTTCACCAGTTGTAAACTCTGTGGCTGAAAGTTCTGGTTGTTCATCCACTTCTGGACTTTGGTTTTGTTCCAGAATCTGAGTTTTGTCATGCACATCAGTTTTTTATTTATATGCAGGCTGTTGGTTGCTTGTCTCTCAGGCAGATGCACTCTGACTTTGAAGGAAACTGCCCTCATTAGGCTTTTTTTTACAGTATGCTTGTTGAGGGACAGTAGATCCATTCTCACCTCCAAACCCACGCTGGGATCTAAATCAGGAACATTTATTAGAAGCAAAAGAATGATGGTTTTGTAAAGTGTTGGCAATTGTATTTCTGAAATGATCGTGTTTATGAGTCATAATTCAGGGAACATAAATATTTGGTTCAAGAGTGAGAGGACAAATACTGATCAATTTTCCGGTCTTGTCAAATCTAGATTTGCATTCTTGGCCAGATTTCCTGCCCCATACTTAGTCATACCCGTAAAGTTAAGGACCCATTTTCCTACCCATGGGTTTTTGGGTTATAGAGGAGTGTCTGGTTGAACAGTTAAGGGTACTGGGCTCTCATGAGGGTGACCCAGTATCGAACCCTCACTAAGGTTGTGGGTTTTCCTGTCAGCGGCAAAAATAAAATCCTTACCTACATAGTCTGTGGTGACGGAACCAGCCATGCAATCTTTAATCATCAGGCTTAAAGTCTCACCTGTCTACGCAGCAAATAAGTGGTCATTACAGACGGTAATTACATTTATTTGAAAAAAAAAATTATAATGTTTATATTATTTGTTTTTGGTATAAGTATTAAAATGATTTATACAAAAATTTGATTTGTTGTTATGGAACCGTGTTGCTGGCATTTGTGACACTGATGCAGTTTTATTGTCTGGGTTTGTGTAACAAATTGACACCATTATTAAGACATCCAAACATAACTGTTCCATGAAAAGTAACCCCACAGCTTATATCCAGCGTATTCATACCAACACTTTGATACCAGTGCCAGACTTGGGCGGGTTTTTCACTAGTTAGGTGTATCAGCCATGTGCACCTGTGGAAAGGTGCCCCAGACAGCAGCGCATGTACTCCAGGACTGCAACGAATTTGACACATTGAGGCCAACCTTTTGGCCAGAAAGAACAACAGTGGAACGTAAACCCTATGGACCACTGAATGAACTAACAATGACAGTAAAATTTATACAAGAGACAAAACTGTTGATATAGACAACTTATTTCAGGCGAACGAAAGAAGAGGAAGACTAGTTTATAAATGGGACAGTAAAGGACATTCTGTGTGGTTTTTATTGCCACAAGAACAGAGCAGTTATAGGGCGACCGTCCTGTGGTGATGTTGGCACCTCTACTAGCAGTCTGACTGAAATATTTACCTATATGAAATCGGCATTAATGAGATAAGATGCTTTATGAAAGTACTGAATCAGCATTCTGATATGGAGTGAGACGATACCATCTGACACAGTGTTTTGTACCAGCCAGTTTACAAAAAACAAAGTGATAGCTACTGACTGGTTCGTAGAAAGAAGTAGAGATAGAAGGACACACTCGACAAACATAAAAATCATGAACTGTAGTTACCATACCAGGACTTGAATCTGTCACATGTAAATGATGACATTGCCTTGCTGCAGGAACAAGTGCAATTTGGCGCGTGACCATCTGGCACCCCTCTAACATGTATCATCATTAGTCTGTAGTACAGCTTGAAATTATAACAGCTGTAAATGTGGCACCTCATTGATTGAAAAACAGCTGCTTCTATTTGGCTGTGAAATCTGAGATATTCACACACATTTTGGACTGTGTAATGAGGTACTTTTTGTCCGTGGAGCAATGGAAATGGAAGACATAATTTTGAGAGCATGCATCTTCTCTGTAGCAACATACGGAGAGTCGTGGACTACTTTGCAATCATTAAGGAAGGAAATAAGGGCTGTTGAGCTAAAATCTTATAAAAAGATTCTTGCAATACCAGGGACCAATCAAAAAAGAAATACTGCATTCTGAAAGATCAAACATCAAGGAAGATTGGCTCGTAAACAACATTCTGTCTCGGAAACTGATATATTTTGGTCATATCAAGCGCCATGGCAGATTGGAAAGTATAGTAGCAGAAGATGTACTGGCACAAAGAAGGGACAGGGGCAGACTGGCATGAAGATGCACATATAAGGCACACCTTGGATAGGAAAAGGCATGAGGTGGAAGAGTTGACGTTGACGCGTTGCTGTCGGAAATACTGATGATAGCACGATTCTGCAAAGGACCTGCTACATGATGTAATGGGCGGCCATTGTTTTTTGCACCCCCTCCCCCCATAAAATTGTCTGAGATCTGGTCAGGAATGTTATTTAATTGTGAATGTACAAAAACCCAAAGCCTTTAGTGAGAATAGAAAACATACCATGCTTATTATGTAGCAGACACTTCTTCTTATCTTCCACCATATACCTCGGGGGAGGGGGGGGGGGTGTAACGTTCATTGATTGACTCTGTCTAGAGCTCTGTTAAGATTGATGTTCATTTCTGTAAGCTGTTCTCAGTGCCATCACTCCATGTTTTCTAAGGTCTTCTGCTCGCTCATACCCATTGTAACATTTTAGTGTGGTTCGCTGTGGTAGTTAGTACCAGGGCCTTCTTGTTAGGTGTCTAGAGCACTTCATTCATTGTTCTTTGATGACCTGTGCGACTGGCTTTATTCCTATAATTTGTGTGATTTTGTATTCTATCTTTCCTTGAAAACTCCTGCAGCTCTTCTAGGGCATTTCATTTATGTTGTGACTATTTTACGTTCATTAGAGTATACAGACGCAAACTTACCATAAATGCAGCGTACAAGCTGACCTCAAGTTACAGCCTGTGTTTACCCTTTAGATGGTATTTGATCCTGGCGATTAAGGACGTCATGGCTAGTGCTGTTGCCACAAACTGCAGATTGGCCTTTTCATTTTGCCTCCAAAGAAAAAATTCCCAACCTTATCCAGAAATCGGACCCGGGTCTTCCACATAAAAGGCCGCAATTTAACTGTTTGGCCAGTCACTCCTCTTTGATGAGCCATATTGGACAAACTCTAAATATACAGTTAGCTATCAGTGGCCTAAACCTTAGGCCTACAGGTAAATAAAGTTAGGCTACAGTCTAGGATAACCTCTGCAAAAACCACGTAAGAATCAGTTTTTATGTCACTTCATCGCACACAATTTACGGAAATCCCATAGTATAAGGGGGGTTAGGGTTAGTAGTAGCCCCTGTTCATTTAACCCCAACCCGTGCTATGTGGGATTTCCCTAAATCTCACGTGATGTGGTGACTTAACAGAAAAGAATCTAGGCACTAAAAAGAATGGAGCCCCGGAACCAATTACTTAGAGAACACTTGGCTTTATTTTGCAGCTTGAGTTTTCTAGGAAACAATAGGAAACAAACCAGCCACCCTTACACCTCATCCTCAAAAAAAAAAAAAGGTGCCATCTCCACAGTGCAGGTTGGTTGCACAGGTATGGAAGTACAGTACATATCTCATAAGAATTTACCTGGGACAGAAGAAATGATTCTTATCAGAAATTCCTCTTGTCCAGATAAGAAATAATGTAAGAAAAATGGCAAGGGATAAACAAATCGTTCTTACAACAGAAATTCGCAACATCCGAGATTGTCTTCAGTGGCCTGCACTATACCACGATAGGTTACCGGTCTCTTTCACAATGCGACTACCGTACCCACCAGAACCGTTTTTCCAAACCGCCTGCCGCAGGAATCAGTCCCTGTTGAACGTTATTACTCATTGCTTCGATTATGTTAGTAAAAAGTAAAATAAAGGATGCTTTACCACTCCTTTAGGCATATAGGGCTAGACCTAATTTTATAGACCAGTCGTCACTGGGTGGGTGTTATGGTAAGCATCACGTCGGCCGCCTTTACTTCCCAAGACTATCTGGTGCCCACTCAAGGCTAGGTCGACCAAAGAGCCAAAGTCATTTTTGAAAAGAAAAGTCTCTCCTATTATGTGCTGTGGGGATAATGTCAGTTTTTTTTTCTCCTAGTCCTCCACATACAAGCTCTTTTCTTCATATCCTTCCTCATTCCCCCTCTGCCTCTTCTACTCCTACCAATATTTGATGCGAGTATTGATGTCAGAGCATAATCACTAGCTTCTGCGAAGCTGTGAGATTTTATTTTTCTCCTGGTTTATGTCGTTTATGTGAAGGTTTAAACAAAATAGTCACCTCACTGTTGCTTTTCCTGTTGGAGAGGGCGCCAGGGACATTACTCTCACCAGCAAATCGGCGGCAGTACAATGACCTGACTGCAGTTGTTAATGAGTGTGTAGCCTACAGCCATGCAGTTCTTTGGCACATGAAAACATCTTGAACTTGGGTTCTGGACTGCCGACTCACTACAAAAAGGCATAATCGTGTCCTGTAGCATGACGGCCTGTACTTCTTAAGAAGTTGACAGGTCGAATTGGGAGCCTAGGTACTATTGGAATCGGAACTCTTAGCTGGCTGCTGAAGATGAGAAGGGAGTGTATAAGGGTTTGTCTCGAGTGCTGTGTTATTGAGTCATGACTCATCTCATTTCCACCTATAAAGGAATTGGAACATATGACCTCTGGGTGGACAGCATGAATATTAGCCACTTGATTACTACGACTCCCTTCTGTTACAGATGGTAATCAGAAACTGTTTTGGGTGTCATTGCTGTAGGGAGAAATACAACGTCATCATCAACGTGGGCCCTGCCAGCTGGTGTAGGCGCTCGTGCGTCATGACAGATCACGACCCCTGGTTGCCTGGAACAGCTATCTTGATGATATCCCTCCATGCCATCGCTTCAGACCGTTCCGCATCATCTCTATT